TACGCATTTCTTTGTAGAGCAAAGATAAATGAAGATGTAACAAAAGTTTAATAGCACTCAATATATTATATACTAGCCGTGCCAGCGACATCATCCGCAAGAATCGATATTTCAGGCACCCAAATTATTGCAAACCCGTCATTTTTATAAACATAGGCTGTTACCCACGACGTATATTCGCTTCTATTCGTCACAGCGCGATATGAACGCAAAAATAATTTTAACCCGTAATCCGCTAATCTCAAGAACCCGTAGTTCTTGAGATTAGCGCGTACAAACAAACAAACTCTTCAGCTTTATATATCAAGTATAGATAAGTAGGTACGTCACACAGCTCCATAAAAACTCGTCTAAGTACACTGAAGTAACGAAAATATTGTCCAACTTATAAAACAGAGAAAAGAAACAAGATATGTAAGTATAAATCATACAAACCGTACATTAAGAAAACCGACAGTGGGTAAGTGAAGTTTCTCAATTCACTCGAGTATATTAAAAAAACGTAAACAAAATTAATAAACCCCTCGAAGCGCTAACGACGTTGTCTCGGAATGTCTGTTGCAAAATGAATTTTTGGCGATTATCCAAAAACTTTTAATAGTTGCTATTTTAAAGTAATTTGGCTTATTTGAACCTAATGGCGATTCGGGTAAAAGTGTTTCATAATAATTGTATTAAAAGGCTCGGATGTCTATTTTTAGACTCGTAGTGCCGCACTGGTTCAAGAAATCAGGTTTGTAATGTATTGACAATTAAACAAACTAGGTTTATAGGCATGTGACGTCATGCCATGAGCTTTCTATTATCTACTATTCGGGGCTATGTAAGTTGAGGCGCAATCCGAGCGGTTATTCCTGTATTTTATTACTATCGTATACGTCACTTGGTTCAAAAAGTACTTCAAAACTAAGTTAATATCAAACATGTATAGAATTTGGGCAATTGATTTCCGCAACAACCTCTCATAGTTGAGTGAATAGTATCGTGATTCCTCGTAATAACTCCTAATAATGGATCTAATACATCGAGTGGATAATCCTTACAATAATGAAAATTAATAGATCTCGAGGGTTTCTATATTGATAATGTAGCCTGATTAATTCACTTTGGGCCAAACGCAAACACGCCACAATTCGCTCGATGTCTGTTGGTTTCAGGATACACGTGTGTTTAGCTAGGAGAGACATACGGTATAAAATGTGTACCACCCAACAAAGACGTGAAGCGTAAATAGTAAGACTCTTGATTCATGTACGAGAGACTCTTTTTATAAAAAAATATTGTATTGTTTTTATTTATACTGAGCTGAGCTGATACTCTAAAATCAATTGCAAATTGTCAGCTAAGACCTTCAAATATTGTATTGAAGGTGTATTACGATACTCACTCTTATATTTTGAAGTAAGTAGAAATAAGTAATAAATTTAAAAAGAAGTGTATCTGCGGGAGCCACAATATTCAAACTTCAAGTCACGGCGTATGACAATACTTTATTACCAGAGGTTCGTCATTTATGATAGCCATAAGTTTTATTTTGTATACGGCACATTAACCTTATTAGGTGACGTTTTATTAGTGTCGATGTTTGTGGTGAAATGTCCTTATTCTATAGTATCATGAAATCTATAGAACATAGCTTAAAGCTTAAAAGTCGAGCCAACAATAAAGTCAATAATACTAGAATAACACGGTGCTGGTGCTTGCTCCACGTAAAAGTAATAGTAATAGTGCCGAAAGGGCTGATTGGAAATTAATATGAGTAAAAAAGAAAGGGCAATGGAACCAGAGTCGATGGACCACAGTAGCGTAAAAACGATTAGGGAATATTTCATATTCTTCACTGCCTGTTATCAGACTGTGGTAGCACCCTCGCCGCTTCCGGAACGTGTACATAAAAACACGTTTTAAATTATCTTCGGCATCTGATATTATGGTTAAAAATAGCACTATTATTACCTTTTCCATAATTAGGGTCTATGCTAGTCAGTAGTGAATACCTTTTAGTATAAACAAATTAAGTAAATTACTTTAAAAAAATAGAACAGTTTCCTAGTATTGAATCCAAGTAGTGATTCTTTTACTAGTTAAAATATCTAAATTATAAATGAGCATCTGAAAAGTCGGGTCATAGGCAAGGGATTAATTAACTAATATATTCCTTGTTTTAAACCGTTATACAAATGTCGCGTAAACTACATAAATTACTAAAATATAAAACAGAACTGTGAATTAATAGTATCTGAATAATTTAACCACCAGCAGCAAGCACCTGTACATACGCCAAAGCTCCCCAAGTTTTTTGTAATATTCAATTAGGGCGCCTTTCTATTGCACTGTACACAGGCACGTCTTAGGAATATCGGGGAGAATAGGAAAACAAAAAATCAGCCGCTGCCGCTATTTCTTGGGGAGTGTGAACGTCGATATCTGTCTAGAGGCGGAATCCCGCATAAGATCCAACGACTACCCGCTTTTCATTTTATTTTGCACTATTCCGCTAACAGAAATTCTCTGCTTCTGAGAAAAAATGTAGAAATATACGACTTTTTTAATGTTCACTATCGTTTATCCCAGACGCGCTCGATTACAAAATTTTTTTTTGTATATGTACTACGTAGCTCCAATAAAAGAAACCGAATTTGGTATTTATGATATTAAAATTAAATTTCAAAGTAAACACTTAGTTCTTTAAAGATTATTTAAAATAAACACTTCGAATGGTTTAAACCGCGGTAAAAACCAGTTTTTTACTTATTTTCACATTATTTTAACTACGATCTGACGTTTCGAATACTTTACAGCCCCTGTGATCACGGGGGGACACTAAGGTGAATTTCACGCTTTAAACCGTTAAAAGTGTTTTATCAATGTTTTCAGGATAATCAGCTTTCAGAAACAGAAATTGGAATAAAATACGACATCTTCGATGTGCCGGGACCACGCCGAGCTCGACAACATAGTAACAGACTATACGTACGTGGCGGTCTCCACAAACTACCGGTTGTCTATTTGCGATAAAAATCGTACGTCGCACGAGATCCTTGTTGAGCCAGTACCTTTATATATTAACGGTATGGGGCTTTTACTACTGCGTACTCGTGTGCGAGGAAGGAAGAGTTTTTGTTGCTGCGCCATTCTAAAAATACTGCTGAAGTACCGGGAGCTTTGTCATTTATTGGCTATTTGTATTTTCAATCCAATCTAATGTTGATAAGTTTGTTATTAACGTCCTCGTGAAAATGTGGCGACTGTGAAATTCATATCATTTACCTGAACTTTGCAATAGGTATATACCGCGCGCGTTATTAGATCACAGACTAGGATTTGTAGGTGAGTTTACAATTTACATCCAATGCTTAAATGACAATACATCATTGATTCCTATAATCTAAGACGCCGTACTAGTGGTAAGCTACCCTTCGTATAATCGGCGACACAAATTTAAATTACAGCCAAAAGTATTTGCGAACCGTTCGGACCGCAATACCAGCTCCTTATATCACTCGAATCGGACACTGCCAGGTGTAAATCGTAGCCGTGGAAGTTATGATAACTGGACAAGTAAACTGCAAACGAGTTCCGATCGACAAGGAGCCGGGCCACAAGAGCGAACGTAGAGCCCAAGCATTGTTACGATTATTACGATTATGTCTCGACAACGGCACAGGAGTAGCGAGAGCGCTAAAAGCGTCTGCCTACTCGATAAAATAGAAAAACGCGAACAATGTAGTCGCGGGATAAAAAGAACTCAGCCGGTGCCGTGCTTGGATCGAATCAGAATCCCATAGCTGTGCCTCTGCCGCTCGACGCTAGACGGGACGCGAGACTCGCGACAATTATTAGCGACAGTTTTAAATGTCACGCGGCCACGCGCCTCTCCGTCTGGCGGCGAGTGCAAACCTCCTTTGTAGAGGAATCTCTTTCACCTTTGACTTTTCACTAACGCTAACGGTTCATTTAGTCTGACGCGATTCGAAAATTCAAATCTAAACTAAGTCAATATACGCGATCGTAAACTTAAACAGAACGTGTACAAAAGTTAAATTCGTTTGACCTCTACTATAACTCACTTAAGAGTGTGACGGGTCGTACGACATGTCATCACATTTGCAAAACAGCAAAGCGCCAATACTCAATAAACGCGAGACAAGAGCGAAGCGAGACCAATAATAACGGGAACATTACTCTTATAGAAGTGACTCCACAAGTCAATTGTCGTGTGAGTGCGCGCGGGTTATTTCTGACCGCGGCGCGGCGACCTGTTTCGCTCCATTATCAGTTACCGACCAGAAAGATATAGACTTTGCTAACACAACTCAGAACGATCCAGCCGTAAACGAACTCGAACGGAGACCCGAAGATCATGAGGCTTTTATTTATGTCGTCTTCCGATCCTACGCAGAGAGGGTCGGGTGTCGATATTTATTAAGGCAATAAAGCGTATTACATAAGATCACGGATCGAACGCACGAAAGACGAGTCATTTCCAAAGGAAGACCGACACCTGTTGTTACGATTACGTCCAGTTGCATGCGAGGTACTCGAATACAGCGACCACATATTGGTTGATTTAAGCTCGTTAGGCGCACACCGGACAATTGTGATTGAATGGAAATGATCTAACAGTTATATGGGACGGAACAGCCGGATCTATTGTGATGAGTTGGCAACCAGGAAATCTTGAATTATTCTATTGCAATGCGAAGGATTATGCCCGGGCCGTCTTGTGTGTGCGGAGCGCGTTTCTCACGCGTATCAGAGGCGCTGTGACTAACGTTCGATTAATTCAGCTAAGTACTTCGTTTGAATCGCAAAAGTTTCGTACAGGTCTGAGCTAATCATCGATGCTCAAAGGAGCGAGCCAACAAGTTATAAAGACTGCCTAGGAAGTTTTCGAATCGCCTACGGCCTCGCTTATCCGAGTTTTATGCAGACTTTGACAAGGTATCGTCTCTGTACAGCTTTAGAGTGGAGATAATGTAATTTCATAAGGTCGCAACATGACATGCCGTAGGCGGGAGCTCTCCGGTTACCCTGACGACATGTTTGCCGATAACGTGAGTTATCGCATCAATTTCGTGACGTATAAGCAGAATTCATACATTATTGGCAAAATATTTATCGCATACTATAAGACCGTCGGTTAAAATTCTACATATGTTGTATGTTACTTATAAGGGAACGAGTGAATTATTTAAAAGCTTTGTCTCCGAACAGCGGGCATACGTCAAGGTGCCGAACGGCGTCGACCTTTTCAATGAGCAGAAGGAATGTCCAGGCGGCATCAGCTCTCGCGGTGACCACTACATTTATTGCTCGCTTTATTGGAAACACGCTTCCGCGTTCCTTGCCAGTCGCCACACCGTTACACATTAACATTATAGCCGTACTAAACCGTATTCCGTTTGTATTATGCATTGTTTACAACTCGTAGTCAAGATTGAATTTTGTCAACTCGGGGGCTGCTAATAGCTTCTGGTGAAATATTACACTTCCCTATGTACTATGATAAAATTAATTATATTTACGCGCCGAAACAAGGCATTAGCGGGGGAGAGCAAAAGCGGGCCTGTCATTTTTTATCCGTTCATTAAAGTAGGTGTAAAATCCGCCGCGTGTTTATCGGCGGTCTTATTATAATAAATTTTCTTTCCTGGACCCCTAGTACGTGAGCCCGATGAATAAATGAATAATAGCGTTCGAAAGGAGCACGCTCGCGGCATACCAATTTTTCTCGAGATGCTAATAATGTTACTCGCATTTTTCACAGGTCCGCCTCGCGACGGAGATGACTGCCGCGACTGATGAGAGCCACATTTCGAAACGTCATTAGCGGAAGCTGATAATCAATATGGTACAAAAGTTTATGAAAAACAAATCTCAAAAGTCTAGAGACCCTATGGTTTCCGATTGGTGATACCACACTTTCATCACTGATCCAATCAACCATTACCATAACAAACATCATCATCATATTGTGAACAGGTAATTATCCTCAGACTGGGTCAAAGCCTGTCTCTGGTTAATCACTCTTCCAGAAGTTCACAATGCATTTAGAGATCCTCGGGACATGCGATGGTCCACGCTCTGCCGATGTAAACCAATAAGCGACAGTCGGCACTCGCCCCAAGATTCCCATTCCATTAGGTGTCGCCGAGACGCGCAATTTGCAAATGAAAACAACTTATTGAAATTCTTTCGCGGGCCGCATCCAGCGCGGCCTCGCCTGTTCTCTGCACTCGCTTCAGATGGCTGAGATCGGGAATTTCCGATATTGCATAACGATTCGTGAAGTAATGTGGGACCAGGGTGTTTCTTCGTTTGTGTCACAGCCTATAAATAAATCGCTAGATGCGTTACATAGGATTCTGTAGTAACGTTGTTTGAGATTACATTGATACCAAATATTAAACTGTTCAAAACGTAGCTTACGCGTTTATTATTTTATTACATTAAACTGCATTATTGCTGTCGGTACTTTTATCGATATCGGGAACACTTTCAAATTAGTAAATTATGAACTGTAATTATGAGAACACATCTTGTTTTCTTCTGTTTCTTTCTTACCGATGGAATTTTCTCGGCATTAAACATTAGCATAATTATTAATATCGACAAACTGTAGACCAAATGAGTATACTTTACTTAGACGAAGTTAATTCGAGTCTCGCAACGCGTTAAAAATATTAACCCCTTAATCCGAGATTATCTCGTAATTCACACAAAGCCTTTATTAAACTTGTAAATTCAAGTTAAGCACCTTTAATAACAGCGGTCCAAAAAATGTACCCTTAATAAACAACGATTCGGGAAATTAATGAGACGTCTTAAATGCAAAGTTAGTTCCTCGCTCCTTTCACGTTGCGCAAAACTTGAAAGTAGCGAATGTAAAAATTGGGCGAAAGAGTTAAAAAGCGTCCGACAACGCTAATCATGTGCGGTGTTTTGCATAAATTACCTCGGCCGTGCAGCAATCGAGCCTGGTTTCTTAAAAATAAACGGGCGTAAAATAAGCCTCCGCGCTCGAATGCAAATAACGCCATTATATGCTAATACGATGTGCGTAATCCCCTATCGTGTGTTTTGTACTCGTGCGGACCTTCCCGAAATAGTCCCGAATCTCGTTTCGGTGTCAATACAGTTGTCGAATACATTACCATACAATTAGGTATCTGTTTTTTTCTTACAGCCTTTTTATGACAGTGCAGGGTAAATAAGTATGGGATTCGCTCGGTGGAAGGTAACATACCCATACATTTGGTTGTTGTCAGTTGATATTCGTACAAACAAAAAGCCAGGCTTTCAAGGTTAAAAAAATAGAAAAATGTTGGACCTGATGTTAATCGAAGCCTCATTACCATTAGATCAACGATTCACTCAAAATAAATTTTGCCAAATTAAAGAATTTAATATACATATATGTACACACTGGGCCTTGAGAAATAAATATTTAAATTAACTGCAGTAGAACAAAAAATGTTCAACAAATACTCGCGTTACAGAGTTTTGTGCAAGAATGCACCGTCATACTAATCGCGTCGAAGTGGCGAATTGGCGCAAACGTTTCCTGCACGGGGAGCGGCGCCGCGGGGCGCAATTACCACAAATAAAACCTCTGTAAACCGAGGGCGATTATACCATTACGCGTTTAGCATGGAATATTGGGTGTACTCGAAAAGCCCGAGTATAAAATAACGTGCATGCGCCGAGGATACTTGGAGTCGTAAAGCAGCCATAATAGTCGCAGTGCGGAAACGTGCTTTATGGGGACTTATCGCAAGGGATAAAAATAATTTATGAACGATAAAACAAGAGGAATACAACCTTCGATTTGCATCGATAGACTCACACGATATAGGCCATGTAGCACACCTCGATACATCGCTAGCCAGAAGATGGATTAAAATCAAACACTGTCATGTTTATAACCTCGCTTTTACGGCCTGGCTAAAACAATGTTACTAATTGTAGAGGGGCCTTAAAAGAATCTGACGACAGGGCGTTTTAAGCATCGCGTGTTTACCTTTCGTACTTCGTCCGATTACCAGCAATAATAACAATGTCGTACCCGCCCACTTGAGACTTTAAAGATTGAACGCGAAGAATGCTAGTGACCGCCGAACTTGTCGGATCGGTTCGTGGCAAAAAATATCAATTTGTGTCGCCAAGATTCAATTGTCTGCAGCCGGAGAGACGCGTGAAACATAAGAAGCTAATTTCCTCTGGGATGAAGTTTGCGGCGGGAAATCCCCGTCTGCCGAGTGTGCGTCGGGCGCCGCGCCCGCCATTAGCATCGTCCTATTTTGTTTGCCATCTCCTGATCACATCGCGGTTAATCAAACATCGTCTCGCGCCGTTCATTATGGTGTACGATATCTCGTAAGGCGCTCTCCGTTTCCCTCGGAGACCCTTCTGTCCCATAAGACACGCGCGTTATTATCTGGGAACGTATTAAGTGCATAATCGCTCGTTCATTACGGATTATTGCGCCTCGTTGCCGTATAAAAAGTGCCGGACAGAGATTATGATACGAATTCCCTTCCCCTTTTGGGGCGGGCGCGTGCCGGCGCGTCTTGGCTATCAGAAGGGTTCGCTCGCGTGTGCATAATAAAGGGTCCGGTGCCCCGCAGTGGACGGCGACGAGGACGTCTCTGCCCACCCCTCGGACTTGTCAACACAAATTTAGGGACGCGGAATGTTTAAGTAGTTTCAATCATTTCAATTATCCGCTTGTGAGCGAATTCACGAAAGTTCTTTTGGCAACCCTTTTTTAAACTACACTAATTTAATCTAATAACACTTTGTGAGGAAGCGTACGGGAACGTAGTGATATATCAAGATCGGGCAAACTTTAGGGTTGACATTATTAACCCAACTATTTCGAGGCGAATGTATGCTGGCCCTTACGATCAAGTTTTCATTGTTAGTAAACTTTCGTGAAAGAAACCCAAACAACTCACAACACTCGAGCTTCAAAACGGCACAGACGTCTATAAGAGCAACAGAGGGTTGTACACAATTAGTTAAGTCTGTTCTCGAGTAATTAAAGTAATGAACTGTTCAATATATTGCAGGTATAGATATGATCTTTGTATGAAAGTTACATAAAATTGATTTCACAAATTTTGCAATTATACAATGAAATGTTTAAATATTGTAAGCGTATTTTATCGGCTGATCGCCCGGGTGTTATAACTACTGTCCATACAAAATTTACAAGTATTTGAATTATATCGCATAATTCTAACGACATGTGATGTCGCTAGATTTACAACAAAACGTGTTTAAACACGACCGAAAATGCTCATATTTTTTAAGAGGATTTAAATCGATTCACCCGCTTACTAAATTTCGATATATTCACCCAATTCTTATTCTCCTACTTAGTATCGTTAAAAATCCAATGCCATCAAAAGGGCGTTCCTTAAGTGGCATTAAGGATGTGACATGTGAGAGCAATTTGGGTCGTTCAGCAAGTGTTTGCCGAAGGACGTACCGAGGTAGGTTAGCGCCGTACATCTCGCACGTGATTTTACACAGATTGAGATTATTTCAGTGCCGTTTACTCGTTCTTTATTCATACATATGAATAAAGAGCGTTTCTTACTGACGATGAGAAAGATGGGAGCGACTATCGTGAGAGACATGTAAACATTTATATCTTTATTATTTATTTATATATACACATATACCGTCACACCTACTGTCTTATTATCAACTGAAATTGTCCTTAATGTGTTGCCCAAACGCAGAACAGACGGGGCCTTCCCCGCCTTTGTTTTTGTTCTCCCCCCCCCCCCCCCCGCCTTGGTTTTGTTTTTGTCCCCCCCCCCCCCCCTTTGTTTTTGTTTTTGTCCCCCCGCGCGCGGCCCTCCCCCCCCCCCCCCCCCCCCCCCCCCCCCTTCTCCCCCCCCTTTTTTTTTTTTTTTCCCCCCCCCCCCCACCCTCGTTTTTTGGGGTTGCGGCGCCCCCCCCCGGGCCCCCCCCCCCCCCCGCCCCCCCCCGCCCCCCTAAAACCCCCCTTTGGTTTTGTTTTCCCCCCCCCCCCCCCCCCCCCCCCCCCCCCCCCCCGGCCGCCCCCGTTTCCTTCCCCCCCCCCCTTTTTTTTTCCCCCCCCCCCCCCCCCCCCCCCCCCCCCCCCCCCCCCCCCCCCCCCCTTCCTTCCTTCCCCCCCCCCCCCTTTTCCCCCCCCCCCCCCCCCCTTTTCCCCCCCCCCCCCTTTTCCCCCCCCCCCCTTTCCCCCCCCCCCCCCCCCCCCCCCCCCCCCCCCCCCCCCCCCCCTCCCCCCCCCCCCCCCCCCCCCCCCCCCCCCCCCCCCCCCCCCCCCCCCCCCCCCCCCCCCCCCCCCCCCCCCCCCCCCCCCCCCCCCCCCCCCCCCCCCCCCCCCCCCCCCCCTCCCCCCCCCTTCTTTTTCCCCCCCCCCCCCCCCCCCCCCCCCCCCCCCCCCCCCCCCCTTTTTTTTTTTTTTTTCGGGCCGGGCGCCCCCCCCCCCTTTTCCCCCCCCCCCCCCCCCCCCCCCCCCCCCCCCCCCCCCCCCCCCCCCCCCCCCCCCCCCCCCCCCCCCCCCCCCCCCCCCCCCCCCCCCCCCCCCCCCCCCCCCCCCCCCCCCCCCCCCCCCCCCCCCCCCCCCCCCCTTTTTTTTTTTTTTTTTTTTTTTTTTTTTTTTTTTTTTTTTTTTTTTTTCCCCCCCCCCCCCCCCCCCCCCCCCCCCCCCCCCCCCCCCCCCCCCCCCCCCCCCCCCCCCCCCCCCCCCCCCCCCCCCCCCCCCCATATTAATAGTAGATAAGTAAATATCACTGTTAATGTTAAAAGACTTTCATTCTTCGTCTACCGTACTTATGAATTTAGTAGTATGACAGTGCAGTTGTTGATACTTATTTCGTATTATTTGTGGACACCATAATAAAAAAAATCTATGCTAGGTTTTAAGAAAAAAAAAGTCTTTGAATGTCAATCTGACTACCCAGAAGGCCAGAACTATATTCTTTATGCATGTAACATCTTTACACTGTCAACAACATTATTACCTAATATCTTATAGCAGGCTTAGTCGGAAGCCCAAGAGCACACAGCCTAAGCTTTCATACTCAGTGTAGCGATTTTTTTTTATGACAGAGAACAGGCAAGTGTGTGGTTACTTGATGGTAAGTATAAAAGTCCAGCCATATTACATCTGAACAATATGCTCTGTCCATCTCTATTGGCTTTGGACTTTCGGAAAGACACAGAAACCAAAAAGGCAAAGTCTACGACGGTGGTTAGTGATTTGGACGAGATTTCTTTCCTATACCAGCTGAATACGATTTTAACGAAATAGGTATAGATTTTCGTAACATGTTGGGCCCAGTAAATGGCAGCATTGTGACCATTCGACCAACGAGCCCATCAAGTTCTCTTCAGTTTGCATCATTTATTTTAGTATCATAGAGCTAGGTGAAGCCTCTAAGCGGCACTCGAAACCCTACACCACTGCTGCACATAGGGACAGAGAGATGCGGTGGAATATTAGTAACACATCAACGGTTAGATCGGAACCCCTCGTGTATTGTATGTCCTACCTCACTCGTGTACCGGAGTTACATGGCGACTGTTTACGAAGCAGTCTAGCATCGCTTAGTGAAATTAAAACGTGGGCTCTTTGGAGCTTCTGCGCTGCGTTTTCATCTACCGCCATTTGTTTTTTGGGGAGGAAAATCAATGTCCATTACTTTTTTTTATTTTAATAAAGAATATTGTTAAAGATAAAAGTTAAGTTATTTGCAATGTATGTTTTATTACAGCATTTTACTTATTAAGGTTTTATTAAATTTTTCACTAAAAGACATTGAATGTAAAAAAAAATACGTAATTAAACATTAATGTTGTATTTATCCTTTTATTGCATATCCGCGACTTAACATTTCACTAAAATAATTTCTCCCCACCTACCTAATGAACTTCGTAGACTTTGTTTTGGCCAGAATAACCTTCTCCCCCAAACTCAACATCATTAGCCGCGGCCATTAATTGAAACGCACGGTGCACGTCCAGCGACGTCCACGAAACAGAATGAGGAATCAGCTCGCCCGCTTCCAAATTCTGGCCACAACAGATTCGGGGCAGTAAATAAAACACAGGAGAGCGATTCGCTCGGCCGAATCAATTGTTGCGGCCGATTTGTGTGCTCTGCGGTATGACCGACGCCGCAGATACAATTGAGATAAACTAACGACACTATAATTGAGTTTAACTGCTTTAGGAATGCACAAATACACACTCCATTGCGATTCGCGTAGTTTGTCTGGCGCCCGAAGTTGATAACCGAACCCTATCTATATCTGTTGGATATTTCGTTGTTGTAAATAGTTAATACCATATTTATTTACTGCTGGTTATAGGAAGGCTTAACTGATGAACGCAAATATAAGTGTAAGTGTTGACACCGCATCTAGATTATACGGTATATGGCTGGCGTATTTCACCTTCCATCACATGATCCTCATGGTTCTCCTCTGTCATAAAAAAATAATATTTAGCCTATTGAGAGACCACTTCAGCAACTCTATGGCTAAACAAGTTGTTTCGTTCGAATCAACACTTAGTTTACTTGCCAGTAAATAAAATCAACGAAACGAACACAAAAACATGTCTATGGACACATAATAACGTAACGCCCCGCAGAGGAAAATGGGATTTTACTTTTTTACTAATCAAAGTTTTAATAAAGATTAACATACGAGAAACACTGATTTTAAAGGACCAGAGACGAGTAATACTGCAGGTGCTTTAAAGTAATACAAAAAAATTATATTTACCCACTATATTTTGTTGAGAGAATATAAAATAGCTAATAATTAAGTGGTTTCAAAATAAAACCCCAACAAATCTTTAGAACCATTACCATTCTACGATACTGTCCTGTCGTTCCGGCGAGAGCGCTTAACTTCTTGTTCAATCAGCTGTCGTCTAGTGTATTCGCGAATAATAAAGTAGCTTTATTGTTTAGAGGCAGAATAAATCGCATAAGGCTTTTGTCAGACTACACTATAATAGTAAAGAAATTTATAGCTCAATAATATCAGGCGCTATAAATTACAACAGACGGTATAATAGTTAAGTCAATTATGTATAAGTAGTTAGTTGTCTATAATAAGGTATGTTGCGCGATAGTTTCTCTACTGATTTTACTATCGCATAGTCTGACAGGAGCCTAAATCGAATAATGTCCTCCACGTGCCGCGATCCAGCCATTGTCGGGAATACCCGCTCGGCGCCGTGCTATAGCGTGACTTGTACTTGCATCGTGAAAAACTCAACACTCGTTTGTATTGAAAATGTAATTAAATAAGTAAATAACTACATTTCCATAAATTGTTTCGTTGTCTGTATTGCATTTATTGTTTTGCACATATGTGCAACAATGTGTCGCGAAGGTATTCATCAAATGAAGGCGTGTATGGAAGAAAAAAATAGCATGAAAATAAACAGATTACCTATTATATTAGTTATCTCCTCGTAGTAACCTGATAGTTAGCTAAGTTTTAAAGCTTCCCATATTAACACTATAGTTAGTATTATTTCTAGGGACCCAAGAAATAATACTAACTATTTTATTCGCGATAGACACTACGGAAAGATATTGCGGTATCTTGTAACATTTGTTAGTTATAAAGGTATTCTATGCCACTATATAAATTATTATCAAGTGTAATTTATACAAAAAA